ATTATTTTACATTATCATTGTCTTACTAAACATAGTGGTGTTGAAAAAACACTTAATGAATTAAGAACTAAGTTTTGGTTAACAAGCTCGCAATTTTATTAAAAATATAGTTAGAAATTGTTACACTAGTAGAAAACTTGACAGTAAACCTTTTAAGTATCCTAATTCTCCTCATCTACCCCTATCTCGAGTTAGTGATGAATATGCATTTAAATATGTGGGAGTAGATCTTTGCGGACCAATCATGCTTAAGAATATTTATGAAACTAATGAGATGTATAAAGCGTTAATACTTGTTGCTACATGTTGTAGTGCATGTTTTCTCTATTTAGATTTGGTTCCCGATTGTACAACGGAAGCTTGCGTTCGTGGTCTTCCTCGTTTTATAAGCCGCTTTGGTGCACCCTTTCAACTTATCGGCGATAATGGTTCAAATTTTTCTGCTGAAGAAACTCAAATCTTCTCAAGTTCAAGACGTATACGATGGTGTTTTAATGTTCCTGGTGCTCCTTGGTGGAGAGGGATATTCGAAAGGATGATACAAACTACCAAGAGAGTACTTAAAAAGGTTCTAAAAACATCAAGAGTTAATTATGAAGAAATGCTAACGATATTGGCTAAAATTGAAGTTGTTGTAAACAACCGGCCGATTACGTTTCTGTACGAAGTACCGGCGACGAGCCTCTAACACCAAATCATCTCGTGTTTGGACGACAGTTACCTTTAGAATCTGAATTTTAATAACATTTTAACTGTTAATCAAAGCAATGATAAGCAGAAGTATTTACACCAAAAAGCGATTTTGGATCATTATTGGCACACATGGAAAAATGAATACTTGATAAACTTTCGAGAAATGCACACAAATGTGACACACCAAAGTTGGGGGTTTGATATGAAAACTGGAGATGTTGTATTGATAGACGATCCAAAAGTTCCACGTTCAGTTTTGAAAATGGGCGTTATCCAAAATATGTTTAATTTAAGTGATAGTCAAGTACGTTCTGCTGAAGTACGCGTGATCTCTGGCGACAAACCAATTATTCTTAGAAGAACTGCAAATAAACTTTACCTCCTAGAAAGGCATGACTTGATTAAACAACAGTTAATTCAAGTGACATTTATTAACGTGAGAAATATTAAACATTTTAATAATAATTTATTAGTGCCGGCCGCAGTGTTGCGTTAGTTCGCTAACGCAGCAGCCAGTATGCATCTTTACTTTGTATATTTTAACTAAACGCGTAGCAAGTCTTGATCTTATACGCTTCCTTCTTCACCACGAGCTGAACACTTGACGCGATTCAAGTTTGTGATTATAAATAACGAGACGCATCTTCAAGAAATATATATTAAAGTAATCTTATCTATGTGAATTAATTCTAGAGTCCCTTCCAAACTCTTTATATTCAAGTTCGACAGTGCTATTTATTTTAATTTCTTAGTTGTATAGTTAATATTCTTTGATTGTTTTACTGTTAAAAAAATTTACTGTCGCTGTTATAATTTTTTAATATTTATATTTTGTAATTATGTCAGAACAAAACAAGATCATCAAAAACTTTACTACATCCTCAATAGTTAATGCTTATCAACTGCTAATTCCATAGGTTATATGAGATTATATATATATACATAAAAGCGCGTTTTTTTAAAGTTATTCTCCGCGGAGCTTTATTTTGGTATTTCAAGAGCAAAAGTTTTTTCACAAAATAGTATTGGTAACTTTTTTAGAGAAAAGAAAGATTTATTATTGTTTTTTTTATGGTTGAGATAATTACTTTTTACTTAAGTATAGTCCACGAAAATGCAATTTTTTTTTTTTTTTTTGTGTGATTATTTTATTGTAGCTTTGAGTTTTTTTGAGTTCCATCAAAAAAAGCTCATCTTAGAAAACTGGTTTCCTAACATCAGATGGGTGTGTTGAAAATAACGCAATTTTTGGTACAAAGATTTTTTTTAAAATGAACTATTCATTTATATTCTTAAAAGGCAAAGATTAAATATGATAATCTACAAAAGTAAATATAAATATTATAATATTTCAGCTGCAAAAGAAAATATACTGTTAACATGCTTAACATACGCAACGTTACCCTATTTTGTGATGCTATTAGTATCATTAAAGCGTATTGGTTACATAAGGTTACATACATTATTGCTGTTTCCGCGTGAAAATATGTTTGTCTCTGGAACATGTTTGAGCTAGCTTTCAGAACCAGAAGATAATATAAATTCCATTTATAGATGCTAAATCCACAATAGGTAATTTGTAGTATGACTGGGTTAGCTATATATGGTTCAGGGATGAAATTTTTACCCTGGTGTCTGGAACATGTCTGAGTTTTTAGAACCAGATAATATAAATCCTATGTATAGATGTTAAATCTATCATAAATCTAGTTTATTTAAATAGATTTATTTATTCTAGTTTAGTTAAATCTAGTAGAAAACCACACAGTAAAACAATTGTTATTGTTTTACTTCACTTAAGTACTACATACTAAATTATTACCTACTCACAGGAATGCTGATCTTTTTGACTTTTTTATATTAACAAGCAAATCTGGAGAAACGGTCTAAAGAATATATTTTGTTAGACTATTTTCTGTTTTACTTTAGTTAATGCTGCATTGTTGTATTACAAACTATTTTATCTTTAAAAGCGAACAAAAATAAATAATATCAATTCAACATTAACTTTCGATAACCTAAAACGCTATTAGAGTTTTACTTTAGTTTAAAGATTTCCGTAAAAACGGGGGTAAGCTAAGGTGTTAACAATTTTGATAAAAGTTTATTATTTATAAACAGTACTATATTTCGTCACGATCATAGTACAATCGCCTAAGTCATTTTTTTTTTTGTTTTAAGAAAACTAAAAAAAAACGAAATAACTTCGGTATTTCTTTTGTTACGTCACTTTGGTTTATTTTGTGGCATCATAACTTAGATGCTTTCATATATTACTTTAAAAATGATTTGTGTATTACCATTGAGACACTATAGGATATAGGCGATTGGTTTCCTAAGAAAATGACTTAGACAAATAATTTAGGCAATAAAACAAGTTTTTATTATGATTTAGACGATTGTGATTCTAAGAAAACAGTAAAAAAATTATAATAGAAACTACTATTTAATACATTTACTACTACTACTTATTAATACATTTAATATACATTTACAAGAGAAAAAAATGATTGATGAAAGTTTTTTTTCAAAAAACACAAATTTTTTCATGTTATAACAATAATATAATTTTAAAGTAACAGTAACACACAAAAACAGCTTTTATTTGATTAGTATGTAATAACATTACTGAAACATTTAATGTATTTAAGAAAATTTTTCAAATTATTTAAATATTATATTGTAAGGTAACTTTTCTGGTTGCGGTATTGAATAATTGTTACTGCTCAAAGTTCATTGAAATAAAAGTGCATCATAAAATGCATGTACATCTTTGAGTAAGATTTTCATCCTTTGAAGATCATCAAACTTTCTTTTGTTGGTAAGCCTACAGTTAGTGTAATAGGGAGCCATTCAACTGTGTTCTGGGTGCTCCTGAAACGAGTGGGTCATGAGTTCCACTCACTGAAACTTCTAAAAAGTTTGAACTCCACTTTTCCATCAGGGTGGTATCAGAGCATGCTATAACGTTGCTTACTGTGGGATTACCATATTTTTTACCTGATCTAATGCTGGTAAAGTAGGTCTCTTTTAATTTGGTAAAGTCACTAAAGTCCATCTAAAGTCATCTCACAAAATATGGTTTAGAGTATCGCCTGGCAGTCTACATCATAACAACTAAATCTCTAGGAGTGTACACGTCACTAACAATATTTCTCTTGATGACACTGAGTATTGCATCACATTCAATGTTCCTATGTCCAGAAACAATATACTTTTGATAGATAGAGACACCTGTTTATTTAGATAAACAATAGTAAATGTCTGATAAATATGCATTTTTGTTTTGATAGCCACAACCGTCGCTCCATATTATAAGTTTTTTGTAGCTTTGTCTTTTAATACAATGCGCTTGCTTTACTCTGAGGACAAGGTAGCACTAACTGAGTGTCCATAGTCTACTGACACACTTTCATCTCATATTCTTTCATTTCATTTCATAGTCATAGACCATAGTCTACTGACACACTTTCATCTATTATTCCTCTTTCTTTGTCTTGATCTTTTTGCAATACAAATGTTACATTGGTCTTTGCGAGGCATAAAAAATTTTGAGAGAGTGAAAGGTATTCTTAAAATATGTTAATCCAGCTACTCTTCTATCAACAGAGATTGCATCTGATGTGTACAAGTTATATAAATCAGTTACCTTTGTACCTGGCTTAAGAAATGTTTTTTCTTTATAGGCTCAAACCTTTCAACAATAGTAAGAGTCCACAAAGGGTACTTTTAGAAGCCACTCTTTTATAAACTGCGCGTCTTCATCAGACATGAGACCTTTTGTAATTTTCTGATTTCTTTGTTTCTTTAAAACAGATGTTACCATGGCTCTAACAATATTTTGCCACTCACTCCAGGATGTCATTTCCAAAGAGATGTGTAGATCAAATCTTTCTTCTTCTGCTACATCCCAACAGTTTCTGAGTTTTGATTTCTGAAAAAATCGAGAGTCACATTTTTTACCCATCTTTCTTTTTTCATTAACAACTGCTCGTCTGCTGGTATACTCTTCACCTTTAAGCCTCTTTGTCTTTGCTACATTTTGATTCCAAGTTTCTGGCTGTGGTCTATTGCTTTTTTTTCTCTTTACTCGTTCTGCTATAGGACCTAAACTAGAAGAGTCCAGTTCAGATATGCTCATTTTCTCTTGAAGGTCTATCATCTATGGTTTCCTTTTTTAAATGTTCAGACACGCAATTTAAAGGTGAAACTAAATCTGTATCACCTGTATTTACAAGAACATTCTGGTAAGATTCCTGTTTAACCACTGATGCTTGTATCAGGCATTCGATTAAGGAGGAATTTAATTAAATGTTTGTCTCTTCTCTTTGGTCTTGTTCATTGACTAATATCCCAACAGGGAGAAAGCTATCATCACATGTTTCCTCATCATCATTGGAACCTGAATATTAAAATAAGTTTTTGAATTAAATGCTTAGATTATTAAATCTCTTCATACGATATTATTGAGTCATAATATAATTATAATATTTGTTTTAATTAAAGTTAATAACACTAGAAAAATCAAATTACTATAACTATAATAGACAAACTATCACAATTGCCTAAATCAGTTTTTCTCAAAGAGAAATCACTGCAGACATACATTTATTCGTTTAGTACATGACTTCGGCAAACTGTTTTTAAACTTGAACGATTTATATTTTTAACATTAATAAACATATATGTGATAAAATATATATTTGTTGTTAATCAATATTTTAAAAAAATCCTTACTTTGAGCAAATATTCTTCTGACTTAAAAAAGCAGCGTGGTCATGAGTAGTTATGTTGAAGAAAACAAGTCGCCTAAGTGAAAATGCGGATTTAGGTAGAAATGAAAAAAATAAAAATAAACTGCTTTCTGATTGGTATAAGACATAGGCAATTTGCCACATAATAGAAAACTGTATAAGCTATACATTTCAACTTTTAACTCAAAACCCCAAAAAAATGACTTAGGCGATTGTGTTATGATCGTGACAGTTTATACTTTATATAGATATTATTAAATTTTATGTTTACATAATTTTTAATGAAGTAAACAAAAACATAGTTTTTAATATTTAAAGAAAAACACATTGTTATTATACGCCAATCATATAATTTCAGGAGGTTAAAAATCAAATAATGTTTAACCATTTATTGTATTTTAAAAACTCATTTGGCCCCTGATATTTTTCATTTACTCGAAAAAATATATTCTGTGAAGTTGTTCAGAGTTAGCGAAATCGTGTACTCAAAACTTACGTTTTTTTCGCGTTTCTGAAAGACAAATTATTTTAAATTGTGGTTGAGGTTGTGAAGTAAAATTTTAAAGTTTTTAAAGTTTTAAGTCATACTCCAAATATTTAGAGTTAAAATCGAGAAAAAATTATTGTTCTGGGAAAAAAGTTAAGTAGATTCAGAAATTGAAAAATACTCAGTAAAAATTTTTTATTGCTTGTTACTTCAATGGTACTTATATCTCTTAAAACTTTTTTTATTGCTTTAAAACTACTTAGTAGTAGAGAGATGAGAGTTCTAGCTCATTTTCATTTTCAACCATATTTTCAACCATATATTTTAAAAAATATAGGGTACATTTCTAACCATGATGTGAAAAATTATTACAACTAAGAAATATTTTTTCAAATTTATATAAATTTGAAAAATCAATTTTTTAAAATCAGAGTTAATTTTTATTTCTTGTCGAAAAATGACGTCACAGGTCACGTGATTTTCTTGCTGTGACGTCACATGACTTTTTCTTGCTTCTTATTTTTCTTTATATCCTATTGAATGTAAATATTTAATAACTTCAAGATTTCCACTTTCAACAGCTGAATTAAATGTCCATTCTGAACCTTTATACCCTAATTCATGCAAGTATTTTTAATATTTCAAAATCTCCATTTTTTGCAACACAACAAATTTTCCATTTTGTACATTCATACCCTAATTCATGTAAATATTTTAGTTCTTCAAGACGTCCATTTTTTACAGCTTTTTTAAAAGCATTATCAATTATCCATTCTGCACCTTTATATCCTATTGAATGTAAATATTTTAGTGCTTCAAGATGTCCATTTTTTGCAGCATTTTCAAAAGCATTATCAATTGCATCTTCTACATCTTTATATCCTATTGAATGTAAATATTTTAGTACTTCAAGACGTCCATTTTTAACAGCATTTTTAAAAGTATTATCAATTGAAAATTTTGTACATTTATACCCTAATTCATGTAAATATTTTAATATTTCAACATGTCCATTTTTTGCAGCATTTTCAAAAGCATTATTAATTTTCCATTCTGTACCTTTATATCCTATTGAATGTAAATATTTTAGTACTTCAAGATGTCCATTTTTCGCAGCATTTTCAAAAGCATTATCAATTGCATCTTCAGCACCTTTATATCCTATTGAATTTAAATATTTTAATATTTCAAGATGTCCATTTTTTGCTGCTTTTTCAAAAGCATTATCAATTATCCATTCTGCACCTTTATATCCTATTGAATTTAAATATTTTAATATTTCAAGATGTCCATTTTTTGCAGCATTTTCAAAAGCATTATCAATTGCATCTTCAGCACCTTTATATCCTATTGAATGTAAATATTTTAGTACTTCAAGATGTCCATTTTTTGCAGCATTTTCAAAAGCATTATCAATTGCATCTTCAGCACCTTTATATCCTATTGAATTTAAATATTTTAGTACTTCAAGATGTCCATTTTTTGCAGAATAATTAATTGCACATTCCGTCCCTTTTTCTCCTGATTGAATTAATAATTTAATTAGATCAATCTTCCCTATACTTGCAGCAAAGTCAACTTTATTTCCATCTTTATAACCATATTTTTTTAATATTTCAGAATATACTTGAGTTGAAGGATTTATTAAAAATTTATTATTATCAAAATTATTTTCTAATTCCATTTTATTTTTATATATAAAAGAAAATTATTTAACTCATTTTCAATTTATTTTATTTTTTTACAAAAATAAAATATTTAATTCTGTGTACTTTCATCATCTTCATCATCTTCATCATCACTATATTCAGTAGTGTCTGTAATTTCAGTAACTTCAGTAGTAGTAACTGTATTAACTTCATCTTCATCATATTCATATTCTTCATCATCTTCATATTCTTCATCATCTTCTTCAATCATTTCAATATCATCAACATATTCAGTAGTTTCTGTAATTTCAGTAACTTCAGTAGTAGTAACTGTAGTAACTTCAGAATCTTCAGTCATTTCAATATCATGAATATCAATAATATTTAATTTTTCTTCTATTAATCTTAATCTTTGTTCTATTGATTTTAAAAATGAATTTTGCATTTCGTTTTCCATTCTTTTTATTATGTAAAGAAATTTATTTAACTCATTTTTAATTTTTTTGATTTAAAATATTTTTACAAATAATAAAAATAAAAATGAATGATGATGAGATTAATGAAATATCTGAATTTCAAAAAGAATTTAAACTTTTTGAAGAAATAAGAAACTTTGAATTTGAAGAATCAGATTCTGACTCTGAAAATGATACTTATTTTATATCTGATGATTCTGATGAAGATGAAGTTAAATCAAAACCTATAGTTCCAATTCCTTTAAAAACAGTTCAAATCATGGAACTGCATAAAGATAAGCTGAAATGGATTAATTATGTTCCAACTTATAATGCTATTAATGATGATTATCCTGCTATAGATAGTTTTTTAACAAAAAAACATAACAAAAACAGAAAATTTAGTTCTGAAAAACCATTTAATGTAGATATTAATTTTACTGAAGATGGAAAACCTTCAACAATTCATTTTGTAGAGAAACTACCCATTTTCTGTAAAAATATTTTAAATGATAATTTCTGCCCTTTTGGAAGAAAATGTAAATACAATCATGATATTCCTTATTGTAATACTGTAAAAGAAAGACTAATATGCACTAAATCTTCATGTCAATATAGACATATTCATATTTGCTATGATTATCCTAAATGTAGGAATAAAGAGTGTGTATTATTTCATCCTAAAAAGTCAGAATTATCTAAATTAAGAAAAGCTAAAACTAAATTATGCAAATATATTCTTGATAAAAAAGAATGTAAAAATATAAATTGCAAATACGCTCATTCTAAAAAAGAAATTGAAGAAAATGTAGAAATTTGTCATTATACTCCATGTAAATTAGTAGAGAGTAAATTAAAGAAAAATAAAAAAGGAGAAATAGAAACAATATATAAAAATAACAGTGATAAAACATGTTATTTTTTACATCAAGGTGAAAGTATTTTAAATTATATTGTTAGAACTTTAAAAAAATGAAAAAATATCATACTTTAAAAGTATTATATTTATATTGATCTAAAAAATCTTTACATTTATAAAAATGTATAAAATAAGAATGTTTTTAGATTATGAAAAGCATGAAAAATATACAATAACTTTTAATATTAATTCAGATTTAGAACATAGAGCAATAAATGATAGGCATATTAAAGTATTCGCACAAGAAGATTTTACAGTAAAATCAAATTTATATAATAGTATTTCTTTAATGTGTGGAGTAAAAATAGATAAAGGACATGTAATGATTTCACTTGCAGAAAATTATAAACCAACACTAAATTTACTAAATTCTGCTGTAATAGAGTCTACTGATGATATTAAAATAACTTTATATAATAACGATAAAAAAGATATAAACATTAAAAAAGGAGATTTGTTATGCTGTATTTCATCTTATAATGGTGTTTTTAATACAAATCATATATCACATAGAGCTGCTTTAGAACCTGATAAAAAAGTAGAAGCTAGATCACAAAGTGATAAAGAATCTGTAAAATCTATATTATCTAGTATAGGAGAAATAATTAAAGAAACTATATGTGATGAAGATAAACCTAGTATAGATAAATCTGACAATGCTCTATTTGATTTTGGTAAAAAGTGATTTAAAACAAATTTTTCTTTATAGAAAAAAGAAATGCAATGTAAAAATGAAGAATGTAATCAACTTTATCCAGATCTTAACCAGTTTAGAGTTGATCCAACTGCACCACCACTATCTGATCAGCGATATAGATTCGATAAGATAAGTGAAATTCAAGGTAAAATAGAATGTGAAAGAAGTAAAAGAGCTAAGTTAAGTAAAAAATATCATAGAGCTGTAAGAATAATTTCAGTTGTTGATAAATCATTTATTGCAACTACTATAACACTTGGAGCTGTTGGTATTGGTTTTTTAACAACAATAGTTGGAACACCAGTAGCTATTGCATGTGAAGGTGTAGCATTAGGTATGGGTGTATTTTCATTAATAGGATCTCAAGTAATTAAATAATTTAATATAAAAGCAGAAAAGCATGAAAATATTAAAGTATTAGCTGATGCAAAATTAAATACTATAAGCGGTCATATTTCTAAAGCTTTAAAAGATGGTTATATCGATGATGTAGAATTTACAATAATACTTTCAGAATATGAAAATTTCCTAGTTATGATTGTACAAATTAAAACAAAATATAAAAATGATATAGATGAGCAGACTAAAGAGTCAATATTTAATAAAGGAATAGAAAAAGGCAAAAGTGATATTATAGAAGCGCTAAATATGAAATTTAATAAGAATCAAAGTATAGGAATTATGAATAATACTCTTAAGAATTAAATAAAAAAAACATATATTATGTATTTACTTGAACATATATTTTGTATTAATTGAACATATATTATGTATTACAAACAAAATATATGTTGATTTAATTCCTTTAGGGATCTGATAATCACATTGTGATTTAAAAAATTATTGCATATATAAAAATGTATGCAAAAGCTACAGATATTGATACAAGATTAAAAATAGCAAAAGAACTTGAGGGGCTAAAGAAAAGTGTATATCAAGATTCTATTAATGAAAAGTTAGGTTATGATGCTTTACAGACTAACTTGGAAAAATTGTACAAACCAATAATAGATAGTCAATCTGGAATAAAAGAAGGTATATCTAAATTAGAAAATAAAGCTGATCAAATAGCTAATACTTTTTCAAGCTATCCTGCTTTACTAGATTCTGAAACTAAAGCAATCATGCCACCTGAAGTTGTAGATAAAATATTGTTAGGACCTATCGCAACAGAATATTTAAAGTTATATACTACTAAAAATAGTAAAAAAGTATCAGATGACATATTTGGTATACATTACAATAAAGATGATGAAAAATTTTACATTGGTAAAAAACCAATAACTATTGAAGGTGATAATATAACTATTGAAGGTAAAAAATACATTGGCACACATGGTCTTTGGGAGATTATAGTAAAATCTCATCCTGTTAGATATACTAACGATGATCGTAATAAGTATAAGGAAATTTTAGATCAAACAGATGCAATTCGTTCTAATTTAAATTTAGCTAAACCAAAATCATCTAGAAGTTATAAGTACACTAATGTAATAAAACCTATTTGGGAAGAGATGATTGGAAAGTCTGGAAAAGGAGTTGTCATTCTTCATAGTGATCCAAATGCATTATTTGAGATGCTTAAATTACGCTTAGCTGGTTTACAAGCAGGAAATACTGGAACAAGAAATGAGATTGTTGCTATTTGTGATGAGTTGTTACGACAGGGTCAAATAGATGATGATGACTATAAAGCATTACAGAAAGCAATAACTTAAAATGAATTAGGACTCTTTTTGAGACCCAGAATCACGAAGTGATTTAAAAAATTATTTTATATATAAAAATGACAAAATACTATGATACTCTTATCAATCTTTCAGATAGTCAGAAAGAAAAAATTAAAAAAGCAATTGAATCTGATACTAATGCTAGTATAAAACTATCATATGAAGATTTAAATGGTGAACACAAAATAGCTTTAACAGAGTCACAAAGAAACAGAATGAAAGCAGCCTATTTAAAAAATAAGGGTATAACACTTTCACTGAGTAGAGCACAACTTAAACATAATGCTAAAAAAATGGTGGATTTCTACCTCTACTAGGATTAATTGGAAGTGTAATTGCATCAAAAGTTGTTCCGGCTATAGCAACAGGATTATTGACTGGAACAGCTGCAGCTGCTGGAAGTACTATAGTTAATAAAATTGCTGGAAATGGTACTATTTATGGAAAAAAGAATGGTTATGGATTTAAAATTAGAAAAGTAGGAAAAGGAGTATTTTTAAACCCATGGAATGGTAGTTATAATTATTTAGACGGATATTATTCTAAAAATGGAAACGATTATTCGTCAGTAGGTAGAGGATTGCTATTAGGAGAAAATTCTCCATTTAAGAATATACCATTATTAGGTCTTCTTCTTTAGGAACTAGGTCTTCATAAAAAATATATATTTTTTTAAAAAATATATATTTATCGATTCCACAATGAAGTTGGATAATAAAATAAATTTAATCCACTTCTATACTTTCCATTTAATAAATCAGAAGACAAATCTATAACAACAAATCCATGCTTTTTTGACCAAGCTTCATTACAAAACTTTTTAAACTCATCTAATTTCATATCATTTGAAACATGGTCATTATAAATATGATTTACATTTTTAGAATCTTGTTTAAACAAGCATATAAAATTTGCATTTTCTCTTATCGTTCTCCTAGGCAACTCAAAATAATTTTGTGCCAAGTAGAAACAATCTACATTGCTATGTCTTCCTCTTATATAGTACTTTTCACACTTGTTTTGTTTTGTTAATTGTAAATCATCGAATATCATTAAATTATTTTTAATACAGTTAAGATTTTCAGGTTCTGGTACATCCTCTGCAGTTTCAAAAAATTTACACTCTATATCTGTTTTATCTTTTAAATCTCTTGAAATGTTTTTAATAATAAACTCTGGATTTACATTGTTTTTATTTATTTGATCTTGCAACTTAAATAGTTCAAGAATAACTTCTTTTGGTAATTTATTTTCAAAAGAATTTTTTAATATTTTGTATTCAGGTTGAAAAAGTGACTTTCCAAAAACTTGTAAATGATTATAGTCTAACCAACCAGGTCTTAAGAGCAAGTTTAATAATAATGTTGTCTTTCCACAACCTGATTTTCCAACAATAATACTTCTTATACTTTTAGGTAATAACTCATTATTATGGCGTTTACTTTTATTTACATTCCATGATAAATCTATAATTTCCATTTTTTATTTATGAAAAGTATTTTTTTATATCGCTTTTTGCGATCCTTGGATCTTTTTGTGATCTAAATAGATTTGTGTTAAATAAATTAAAATACATATATAAAAAATGTACTGCGTTAAATGTAAAAACAAAACAGATACACTCAACTTACAACATGCTGTGAGTAAAAACAAAAGAAATATGATATGTGGAAATTGTGTAATCTGTGGAACAAGAAAATGCCAATTTACAAAAGGAACTGAAAGAGCTAAAAAAGGAGGTGACTTGGTAGAATCTATTAATAAATTTACAAGTAATAGAAAATTACCTTTGCAAAAGTTTCCAGGTGAAATGCATATACCAGGTATGAACTTTGCAGGACCTGGTACTAATTTAGATGAAAGATTAACTTCTACTGAGATGCCTAAAGAATGGAGTATGCCTGTAGATAGAGTTGATAAAACAGCTTATATTCATGACCTTGCTTATAAGCATTATCCAGACAAAGAGCATAGAAGTTTAGCTGATAAAATGATGCTTGAACAAATGGATGCTATACCTAATCCTACACCTCGTGAAAAATTGGAAAGAAAGATTATAAAACCTATCATATCTGCTAAAGTAAGGTTTGGTATGGGAAATAAAGAGCCAATGAGTATTAAAGAATTATGTCAAAAAAACTCC